GGAAATAAAACTAAAGAAATGACGGTGTTGTTGTTTCACCCGTTAATGTAATAATCAACCATAAATGTAATATTTGCTCCCTGCACATTCTAACTGCACTCATTTAAACCAGCCATAAATGCAAAATATCATTAACCATAAATGTAATAAAAATTTTGATTACAGTATTCGTTCAAAATATTTCGCCGTTTCTGATTGGCTAAACTCCTACGCATAATTCATCATAACCAGCTATTGTGGACCAAATTTGGAAGAATGATGAACATTTTACTCGTTTCAGGACGAACTATGTCTAAAAACATAGCAAGAACAACAAGAATACAACTCAACGACATCTGCTATTTGGAGCATATTTGCAGACCTGAATAGCCCTTTATCTCCTAAACTTCCCGATAAACATGCACTATCGAGATGAACTTAACACCGACGGAGTTAAGCATGTTTTAACTTGCTTTTAAACTAGGAAATGATTTGAATTAATAAAACAATTATTGACTTTGGCTTTCGTATCATCTGAAGAATTATAAAGATCTCAGAGGGTGTTATCCGCCTCGGCCTTCGTCCTTAGCGGATAACACCATAATTCTTCAGAGGATACGAAAGGCGAATTCAGTAACTGTTAAATATTTTTAACCAGAGATGTAATAATCTTGTGTTGAAGAGAATAATTGCAATGTTTTTCTAGAGGAACAATTATATGAAAACTTTTTGAAAAAAATGAAAAATACACAAACGGTCAGCAAAAACGATGACTGAAAAACTCTCAGTAAAATTACATGCACAAGTTCGTGTCGTCATATATGAAATCATCACCGCTGACCGGAAATCCTCATTTACGGAAAAGCAACAAGAAATAACTGTGCTAAATATTTATTAAACTTTTCATATTATTATTGGTTTAAAAGTGTTGTAAGAGAATTAAGAGCAAAGCGTTTTGAAATTCTCTTGAAGCATCTCCATTCTGAGTGTAATCAGGATCTCATCTTCTTCAACTCTAATGTGGGGAAGGGTTGTGATCCTTCTTCTGTATAGAAGATGGGGTTGAGTGAGCGTTTCTTTATCGTGGGCGTTGAAAGAAACATATGTCAGTGGTCTGTCATTCAGGATAGCTTCAATTTAAATAACAATGGTGTACAAAGTATTAAAAGTTATAAATGACCTTCTTCAGAGTTATCTTGGTGACGTCTATTAACCTTTCCCAGAATCCTCCATGCTAAGGTCCTCTACATTCTGTTTGCTCAGTGACGCTTTCAATATCTGCGATATATGGAAACAACGCGGTTACCTCTTCAGTAGCTAACAGGTACATAGAAGCATTATCAGATATCATCTGTTGTTGGACAGAGCTTCGAGCAGCAAATCCTCGTTACGCCACAAAGAAGGTTTGTAGCGAAAAATCTGTAACGACTACAAGGTGGACTACCTTTGTTGTAGCACATATAAAGAAGTAGATGTAATATGTTTCTCTTAGGCTACAGCTTCGCGGATGTATAAAGTTCTTGTAAAGTTTACGTCAGTGACTGTAAATTTTTCTGCTTGAGTGAGTCTTTTCTTTGGAAGAAAAGATGGGTCAGGAACGTTGCACGGCAATCCTATAATCGTCTTGCAAGTGACGCAGTGATTGATCGCTTTCTTGACATGCTGACGTCCAGCAGAAATCCAATATCTCAGACGTACGAGATTCAGTGTGGAACTCACACAAGCGTATAATTGATTAACATACGTGTCACTGATGTCTAATTCTGTAAATGGGTCTTTGGGTGGTGGGAAGAGTAACAACTTGGCAGATTTGGAAACTGGCGCATTGTGAACCCTCTTGCCGAAACGGATAACACCAGTATCATCTAAAAAGAGTAGTAGGTATCGAACTAGTGGTTTTCTAGGCGTAGATTTGGAGAGCATGCTGGAGATATACTTGAGGTAACTCACTTGCTGACGATTCTTGATCCATTCTCTCTGGGCATGAGCCAGTTCTTGTGTAGTCAGAGCTCCTTTGGTCTTGTTCTGCTTTCTGGTATTGCACACAAACCACAGGACGTAGGCTTTGACGCAGGTGAGCCTGGAAATGGTGCTGATAGACCTGTTGGCTGTCTATGGCCAATGGTTAGAGGTAACCTTGAAGCGGTAAACTTGAAAGGTGCTGTTAGGGTCACTGAGGTAACTCAAGCAGAAGAAGCGTGTAGCATCCCTGTGTTGTTCATCAAGCTTGATGTTTAAGAAAGCCTTCTCAATATCGGTTGTAAAACCATACTTGTGGCAGGGGAATCGGGGTAGGATAGCTGTTAAGTCATTAGTAATAGGTGGCCCTGGTAACAGACTGTCACTAAGGCTAGGGTGTTCTTGGGAATGTCGACAGCTGCATTCGTCCACGACGGGTATTGGGGTGGTTGCAGATTCCTTAAACACGGCATGGTGTGGGAAATAGTGGCAGGTACCTACAGTGGTTTCGGGGTGTCACCCTTTCTATGAAGACTCGTTTCTCCTGTTCAAAGATAATGTCACTGCACATTTTCACTTTCTGAAGGTTTCGTGCAAGATGCTGCGCCATTGAACGTGTTTTTCTTTCAGTGATGTTGAGTTAGTTGGTAAGGGTGGATGATCGGTCTTCGATGACAGATTGGTAGTGTATCCCCTTTCCATCAAAGTGATAGAAAACACTTGATAGTCATGTAGGCCGTCAGTACCCTCGCCACTGATCTCGGCGGGCTGGATGCCTACTGATTCCAAATTCCAGAAACTCTCACGTTTTTCTGTTGCTCTTGGTAATAATGGACGCACTTTGTAATAAAATTGTCGCACTTTCGAATAAAAAAGCTGTCGCACTTTTTAATAACAGACCATCGCACTTTATAATAAAACTTGAC